ATCTTGACAACACATTCCACGATCCAGGAGTAACCTGGAAAACCCATCTGATTTATTTGATAAATGCTCTGGACTCGGTCGCTGCTGTAGCTTTGTTTAGTAACACCACTCCCTTATCAATAACACCGCAAAGAATTCTCCGTCAAAACTAACTTTAGCTGGCGACTAACATCTAGCCTCTGAAATGAACTTATTTTACGCAAATAAAACAGTTGTTAAATTATAATTAAAAATATAATAAAAAGGAGCCCAGAGACTTTCTTCATTTTCTGATAGTGCAGTCATCGTCACTTGCCAAACATTATAGACTTGCATGGGCTGTATTAGATATACTTGTTTCAGGGTCTGTATGACTAGTGTCGAAGGGTCCGGAGTATTTATTACGTGAATGAAAGACTTCAAACCCTTGATTCCCGATGATGTATTAGGAGGACAACAGCGCTGATGATGTCAGTGTCCCAGACGTCAGTGCCCCAGACGTCAGTGTCCCAGACGTCAGTGATCCAAGACGTCAGTGTCCCAGACGTCAGTGTCCCAGACGTCAGTGATCCAAGACGTCAGTGTCCCAGACGTCAGTGTCCCGGACGTCAGTGTCCCAGACGTCAGTGATCCAAGACGTCAGTGTCCCAAGATCCATTTCTTTCACGTTGTCGGACCCACAACACATTTCTTTCACGTTGTCGGACCCACAACACATTTCTTTCACGTTGTCGGACCCACGACACATTTCTTTCTACGTTGTCGGACCCACAATGCATTTCGTTCCTATCTTGTCTGACACACAACACATTTCTTTCTATCTTGTTGGACACACAACACATTTATTTCAAGACAACCAGTTATCATTCTTTGATTTTATAAAAGCCTTTTTATAAAGCCTAAGGGCATTAATTTCATCCATTATTTTCTGGATCAGGGGGTGATTCTATGAATGGATCACTGACAAATCAGCCATGACACCGGGTGTTCGGGAAAAGGTTATTTAAGCCTCACCGCCCTACCGGTAGCACCCGCCACTATCACAATTTGCATAGAAAGATATTCCTGCTGTTCTACGGTGGCAAAAATTCAAGGAGTGACCTTTTCCCCTTAATGGCTAGGTCTGATAAACTATTGCTGAAATGTCCTGGTGAATTAAAGAGTAAACCATGATATTTGTAGCTGGGTTCAACTTCAAATAATGTTCCTTTATAATGCTAAGTGTCCTTTCTCGAAAGAGGACCTTCCCGTCTAAATACAGCAGTTTTGTTTTATCCACATGTACCTTTAAGTTCCACTTAACGGAATGAAAATGTAAATGAGTCTGTTACACAATGCGAATAGTAATAATAGTAACAATATTTTAATAAATCAGGAAATAACTGAATTCTATATTTGCCATTAGAAATATCCTCCTTTGACGGTTTACTTATGAACAATGAAAAGAGTAATGAGTTTAAAATGCATCCTTGGCGTGAACCACTCGGACAGTAAAAATAAGGTGTACCATGTACCTTTCCTCGTATAAAAGATTTGACACATGTATAAATACGCTTTAAAGCGTTCAGTATTTTACCACTGTGACGATAAGATTTTAAAAGAAACCACAACTTATCCCGATTCACTAAATCAAAAGATTTCTTAAAATCTTCAAAGGACACATGAAGTTTGCATTTCTTTTTGCTTAAACGTTTCTGTGTCATAGCATACGATGAAAATATGTGGTCAGTAGTCGAATAACCCTGTCTAAAGCCGACTTGAGTTTCTGGTATTTGATAAGAACGTTAGTCGTGTTGTAGACTTTACCTAAGACGTTGAAAAATGAGACAGCACGGTAGTTAACAGGATTACCACGCTCGTCTTATTTGTGAATAGGGATAATAACCGCTCTAGTTCAAACATCAGGAAAAACACCGGACTCAAATACTCTATTAAATATTGCCCATCAGAATGACATTATCACATTCTCGGAGACTTTTAACATAACCGATAATAACATTGTCTAAACTCGAAGCTTTGTCATCTCGTAAATAAAAGGTTGCGTTATGTATTACGTCCTGCCTTTACGTGAAACATCTTAACATCAATATTTCAAACAAAGTTTGATAATGTCAAATCGACATAATTCAAAAGCAGCTCCAAATATTGAATATGAATTTACCTTTGCCTAACTCAATCTCTTGTCCCTTCTACAGACGAATGACGTCATTAGGATATAGAATAATAGAACTTTGCAAGTTATGTAATTCATCACATCTTCAGACTAAAGAACATTGCGTTACCCTTAAATTCGAGACCAGGCAAACCTATATAAATAACAAAAGGTTAATCTGCCAGGTTATCACCACACCGACCGACAGAACAAAATATCATTCTACATGTGACATTCTTCAAATATATTGGAATTATGTTGTGTGGCAGTAGATGTGGTAGACTTACGTCTGAAAATTGTAAGTGGCAGCAGATTGAAGTGCTCGTGAAAGTGCCGTTGTTTCCAGATTATCTATTGGCGGTACGCGACAACCAGGGTGCTTGGGAGTTATCCACCTTCGGCACTGTTAAACTGCGCAATAGTGGCGTGAATAATGATATTGTGTTTAATTGGAGTAAATTGCACTCGGATCGGTTACAACACAACAGGCTAACGAGAGAGAGAGAGAGAGAGAGAGAGAGAGAGAGAGAGAGAGAGAGAGAGATGCCAATGTAACCTATATAGTTTTATATCGTTTCTGTTGTCACCATCATCATCATCATCATCTATGCTTGTCGCAAGGGTCGACTAACGAGATCGGGTGGTCAGGCTCGCTGACTTGGTTGATACATGTCACGTATCCCAATTGTGTGGATCGATGCTCAATATGTCAATCACTGGATTGTCTGGTCCAGAGCCGATTATTTCCAGACCGCCGTCTTATAGCTGGAAGATTGCTGAGTGTGGCGTTAAACAACAAACAAACGAAGCAGCTAGATGCACTTATGTGATGATATACAACATTCTGATACATATGTCACATACCGCAATGTACTGGTGCTTGTCGTCTTGTCGTAAGAGGCGACTATACTTGTCGTAAGCTATAAACCAACAAACAAACAACTCAGACCGCCTCAGTGGTCATGTGGGTGGAGCGTCTGCTCAGGGAACGGCAGGTGGGTGGTTCAACACCATCACCACCACCACCGTCGTCGTCGTCGTCGTCGTCAGGAGTAGGAGTAGCTGGAGTATTGCTGAGTGCGGCGTTAAACAAACAAACAAATCAGACCGCCTCAGTGGTCATGTGGGTGGAGCGTCTGCTCAGAGAGCGGCAGGTCGGTGGTTCAACACCATCACCACCACCACCGTCGTCATCAGTAGTAGTAGTAGTAGTAGTAGTAGTAGTAGTAGTAGGAGGAGGAGGAGTAGGAGATTTTAATGAGGATTTTAGTGGATCGACTCCGGCGCTCCATCCCTGTGATAACGCGTGATGCTGTCTGAGACCAGACCAGCTTGTGGATGCTCTACCGCACTGTGGATATTACTCCTGTAAAGGGGCCACCGGCCCATTATACAATACATGATATCAGAATTAGACAATTTCAGCGCTAATGAGAAAGGTATTACGCTTTTTTAAAGCAAAAAATATAAATTTAGCTCAAGTATTAATTATGCATGGAGTTTTAGATGTACAGTGTTACAAATTGATCAAAAGTTACATTTGTGTAAAAATAATAAGGTAGAACCTTACGTCTCATACTGTCATAGTATGGACATTGTAAACAAAAATGATATTCAGATTCCACTTCAGGTCTTACACAAAATGGACATAGTCGCTTAGCTCTAGGTATATAGTACTTCCTTCCATTTTCAATTAGCAAAGTATGACCAGAACATCTTAATTTACTCAAAGCAATACGATAGGCACTTACAGGAATACAATCTAGATAATTTTCAAATACATTCTATTGCTTAATACAAGAATAAAGAGAAAGTTTTGAGTAAGTTCTTAAACTGCCTGACCATTGTTGGTTATCTATATCAATACATCTTGTTTTAAAGTTATCAATAAAACCAATATAATTTACTCCTTGACTATTCCAAACATGGCCAATACATTGGCGTCTTTGCTTAACAATTTGACTATAGACGGTTTACCCCCTCTTTCCCAGCATTCGTTAAAACAACATGTTCAGCCAGGCGGTGAAGAATAGGCGGATTAACTGGGGTAGTCCACTGTTAGGGGTGGCTGACAGTGAAATCAGTTCACCCTTCACTTAGAGTACACTCTCTCTGTGTCTACCATTGTTTATTACTCTATCTCCTGTTAACCAGGTCGTGTTCCTTTTACAAAGCAGGAAGTTTATTAAACCCCTAGCCGCTCTAGTAAGGCAAATGTACTTGCGCCGTAGGAGTAGCCTTAGCAGGTAATATGTGCCTTCTATATCCATAATATTAGTATCATATTACAGATTGTACTGCGATTAGGTCTTTGTATGTATCGTCTTTATTTTTTTTCATTTTATTATGTACTGTATTGTGCTGTGTGTCTCATAGGCCTGTTGGCCGGATGTTGTATATTTTATCAAAGTTTTTAATTTTGTCCTCTATTGTTGCACATCATTAATATGTATGTGTTGTAAAACATAAAAGATATGTGATCTGTATGTTGTTAAACATAAATTAAAACAAAATATATGTCTACATGTTGTTAAACATGAATTGCTACAAAATATATGTGATATATAATTATGTTGTCAACCGAGATAGACTGGCTACTGTGACTCAACATCTGTCATGGGTCATCAGGTACTCTATTCACATTTTAAAGGTTTGATCGTGATATAACTAGCTGCCCAAACAGAATATCTATTTGGATTGACTGTTGAGATCTCAAATTCATAAGTAGCTTTAAACTTATTTAAGCATATGAATTAGCGCCTGAACGCTGAAATGTGATACACATACGGCGCTTTGAGTGTAAACCGTCATGACTGAATGCACAACCCACCCGGATGACGGGTAATCTGTCACGTGACTGATTCACATTTCACCTTGTCACGCATTTAGTGGTCCGCCATATTGTGTCGTGAAACGTTTGCACACGGCTCACAGCTATCATCTCCGCGACAAAGTGTCTAAGTTGTCAGATGCAAACCCGACACGCAGGTGTAAACACGACTTAGCATGGCTTTTACTTTACTGGATATCGTTTTGATGGTTGCCGTTTTTTCGTCATCACAACTGATCGAAGCCGCAACGGAGGACCACCCAGAACACACCCGTCTTGATGTTTTTGAACAAGTTCTCGCTATAACTCAGGTTACAAATAGTACTTTTCTCAATGATGCTAAAACAGAACGGTTCCTGGAACTATTGCTACACAACTTTAAGTGTGAGACAACCCAGCCGGCAGCCTGCGAAGATGCTGTGGTAAGTATTAGCCACTTTATTAAATTTCTTTCATGAAGTTTATCAACTTCAGTGTGATAACACGACCGCGGAATGACGCAGCCGAGGAAGACGGACTCGGTAACGAAAAGGTGAAAATCATGTGTTAAACATGTTTTTATTTAACAAAGTACGATTTGTTATATGTGTTTCTAATTTAGATTGAAATTCGTTAATATACATAAAATATTTTTATTTATTTTGGTCAGTAAAATAAAAATCAACATAAATTTATATATTTAACTACCAACACGGGCACTATCCTAGCAGTAGCGGGAATATATATCAGTAATGCCAGTGTGTATGCATGTTTAATTGCCACACACACAAACACCTTATAACCTGGGGCCATTGTTCCGCATCAGTGATCGTCCTCAAAAGCACTATGCAATCCGCCATGTCACGTTTCTCCTGACGACCCACCGTGAACAAGGAGGATACACACTATGTAGGAGGATCGTGGTCCAGCGTGAGGACGGCACACATCTCTCTCAGTTCGACCAATAATTGTACCGTCAAAATCGCACAGCGAGATATTTTCAAATCCGCGTACTAGACCATAAAAGCCTGTATGGTTCAATTCAATTCTTTATTGCCCTTAAGTTTTACAGCTTAACAACACAATGTTTAAACTGTTGATATGGGTGAATACGATTAGCGTACCTATTGAAAATGCACAAGACTATAATTCATTATTTCTTAGTCGACATGCTCTAAAAAGAATTTGAGAATTTGACAGGAAAGTTTATATATTTTTATCCTCTGTGACCCTAAACAATGAGAAAACATTACAGCTGTGTATTTTAGGTAGCAAAACATGTAATAAATATGCCATATGTGACACACCCTTGTGTAGCGCCACATGTTAACATACGTCTTGTGAAATATGTCGGATATAAACGTGACACATCATTGTGAAGCACATCTCCAATACGTATAAAATATTGGAATACAGAAATGTGACAAACACCATGCATTAACGTATTACATTTTAATAAATAGAGGCGTGACAACACCATGCATCATACTTATTATATTTGACTACAGACACGTGACAGAGCGCTAGACCGCTGACCCAGTCAGTTTTGACTTCATTCGTGACCAACTCGTGTTATTCCGGGACAAGCCGAATAGCGACTCGTGCCCCTCTCGTGGCCATTTTTGCGACCGGGTTCCGTCTTAGCGCAAACGGGCATACCTAAAACAATTGTCAACTCGTTGCGTAATGGTTCACACATTTTCCCCATATATTATATATATTTCAGATGCAATTTGAAGCACTTCGGGACGTGCGGAATTATACAGTATGATTGAACACATTTAACTGTGTCTTTGGTATATTTTTAGATGCAAGACATATGTAAAATCAAAAATTATTTCTGAGGGATTCTTTGACGAAGAACTTGAAATCATACGCGCATTCTGATTGGTTTGTCGTATTTTCGCACATAACATTCATCGATAGGGGGAGGAGTCTTCTTGCAGGTGACGGAAAGGGGCGAGTGGTGACGAATGTTTTGACTTGGGAACTGAATGAGTATCGGTGTTTCAGTAGTATCTGTCCGTGGCCCAGGTTGACATGAGAGGCAAGCAAGCGGTTGAGACTGACCCACTCTGACATGCAGTCCCTTCACATAATCCAGAGTGTCGTTCTTTCAAATTTGCCCTGGTTCCACATATGCCATCCAACTTTTGATTTGGGTGGGTATTCTGGGTGTCTAGGTGAGGTCTGCATACTTCACGATGCTTGGATATGTTGTCATACGAATATCATCGAAGTATGAATTTTACGTGTTTAGCTCCGTTTCATATTATAAACAACATAATCAGTTTAATATCAGTTTTATTTATTATTTATTATATTGCACTCAGCAATATTCCAACGATATGACGACGGTTTGTATATAATCGAGCCTTGACCAGACAATCTAGTGATTGACATCATGGGCACCGGTACACGCGATGGGTAACGATGATATGCATCAACCAAGTCAGCGAGCCTGACCACAAGATTCCGTTAGTCGCTTCTTACGACAACCATACTCGCCTCTTACGGCAAATTGTGCTGAAATCTATTCCACCTCGGATCTTCACGGGTATTTATATCAGTATAAAGTATGTCATTATCCTTCTAATGAGTGGTATACCTACACGTACGTCGACCAGCGTTTTATTATTTATAGTGATACAGTCTTATTGAATTCCATAGAAAGTACTGCTCTGGCAATATGGTACGCCGAGGCCATATATAATGACGGCGCGTCTGTCTTGGAGGCCCCGTGTCTGGGGTATGTGTGTACATAGCAGTGATTTGCCACCGACCGGGGTGTCAGCAGATTTCGGGAATCGCCACACAGAGACAAGTTGTTCACGTTACACGACGGGAACTTGTGTTCTGGTGTGTCACGTGTTGTCATTGTCAAGTGGCGGCTGGGTCACCCGTCTCGGCGAGGTAACACCCGTCACACTGCCTGGCTGGTGGCGACATACTTCCTGGTTAAAAGCCTTATGGTTAAAAGCGTTCGCTTGTCACGGTTCGGGAATCATGGGTACAATGCGTGAAGCCCATTTTCCGGTGTCCCCCGCCGTGATATTGCTAATAGCGGCGTAAAACCTTACTCATTCACTATTGTTACTCACTCACTATTGTCTGTGGTGTCCTAACAATATCGATATACTTAAAGTTATATTTGGCATGATTCAATTGATATCAATCGTATCGTTTAGTTTGACCTCTGATGCCCACATCAGGCAAGCTTTAACAATCCGATCTGCAACTACAGACATGATCTTTTTAGAAAAAAATATGCTTTCCGCCTGTTGTGATGTTTTTACTGATTATGAATTCGAAATGAGGGCTAAAGATGGACTTACGGCATTGTCATTGTAAACAACATCCTGTCCACCCTGTTATGTGTTACGTGTTATGTTAAGTTCCGAGGACAGGAAACACGTCATGTAGACTTTGTTTTAAACAAAAGAACAATTTGTTTAAATCATGTGTCAAACCATTGTTTTAAACTGAACACGTTAATTTATTTGATCATTCAGACGTGTGTTCGCTTGTTTATAGATTTCAGTTCAGCCTTGCAAGACTTAAAAATAGTGATTTACAATGCCTGCGTATAGGTCACTTGTTTCCTTAACATGCGTCTGACGGGGATGTCTTTGGCGTTGTTGAAAAGTATCGTGTTGAATTGAATGTTCTTCTAATCAATATCGAAATGTCAGGTCTGGTCTGTGTGTTGTTTAACACCACAAGTCTGCAATATTCCAGCCGTATACCGGTGCATGTCAATCGCGTCGAGACAAAAACACAATGTTTGGCATTATAAGCAAAGTCCCATGCACAACGACACCTGGCCTCACCCCCGCTCCTGTCACTTCGTGCCGTACGCCAGGCAACAGAGACCGGTTCTCACCGGGCCCAACTGACGGGGCTGTCGGTAGTAAGGCGGGTATAGGAGTTGGTCAGAGTGAGTGAATGAGTATGGTTTTACGCCGCTTTTAGCAATATTCCAGCAATATCACGGCGGGGACACCACAAATGGGCTTCACACATTGTAGCCATGTCGGGAATCGAACCCGGGTCTTCGGCGTGACAAGCGAACGCTTTAACCACTAGGCTACCCGACCGCCCCAGAGTTGGTCAGATGCTTCAGGACCTTCCTTTCAGTCCTATCTTCCAGATGCTTCTTCCAGTCCTTCTTTTCCCTTCTTCCAAACCCTCCAGTCTATTTAGAATTTTGTTGATGACATTTGTTGAAACATGTTATAATATGTTAAAATATGTTAGAATATATTAAAATAGGTCAATCTGTATCAAAGTCATCAACCGCCGTGACTCCTGGCGACTGGTACTGGGTTAAAATCTGCATCTGTGCCAGATAACAATGTGAATGACGCACTTGATATATCCGGAAGTATCCGACCAGGGTGCTGATCTAACAGTTGCCTTATCACCAGACTCTTCCCTTAACACCAAGCACCACCACTCTGTGTGTGACAGACACACGTGCGTACATTGCTCGGGACAAGCCGTGTTATATACCTATGCGAACTATACAGATGACCTTTCCGGTCAGAGTAGAGGATCAATATTTTTCAAAACGAACGTCATGTTAAGTCCGGATCAGCATCTATTGCTTCATCAACACGTTGGTTTCGTTACATTGTGTCTAACTGCCCATATTAGGGTGTAGCGGATCTATGTATATATACCACACGTGTCATCGGAGAACCCTAGCCTTGCTGCAAGACTGTACGGAAGGAGACGGTCATTAATTCCGTTGTTGTTACATGATATTTAGCAAGTCTAGATTTGAAATGACGACAGTGTTCTATAGGAACAAAATAAGTTCATTTATAAAACATATTTAGCTGTTAAGTTTGATAAAATAATTTCATGAACAACTACTACTAAACAGCCTATTGTAACTATCGCCCACTTTTGAGAGTTTATTGATGTCGACCCGCACCAACATGCAAAATTAATTTGTTTACGGCAAGCAGATTAATGTTTACACCCGAGCCGTGCGTGCACAGGGAAAAAACGTTTTCCCTATTTGCACTGCTACCTTGACACTCAGGCGTCTCAGTGACAGGAAATACCCCGCCCTTGTAATAATGAAGCATGATTCAAAAGTAGGTATGAGAACGTTATTCACACACACGTAATACATCATTGTGTGGCATGTGTCGTGCACTAACACAATACATATAACTCAGAGACCATATAAGAAATACGTCGACTGACGTGCTGCGATTCTAGAAGTTAATATAATCATTGACTTGAAGCGCAGCGTGACACGCTAACTGATTTATATGCACTTAGATAGGGATAGAAATATTTACACATAAAGTGGCTTTTGATGATTTGATAGTCTATTTTTTAATACCCAGATCCTGTTGTGAGGGTCATAACGGGACCCCGTGTATTTGGGGCCTCTCAATCTGGTTTGTCAAATGTCTCTGAGCCAAAC